AGGGAAAGAAGGGAGGACATTTCTGACAGTAATAGAAAAAACTTCAACCCCTTGTAAGTTACTGGGAATGTACAAAAATGGGCCCCATCCTCTTCAATATGAAGTATTTAATTAAGATACTACCACTGTCTCCAAGGGAAGCTAATACATACTCTGAATGAGAACACCAAGAACAAGAATGCCTGAGCTACCAACTGAGTGAATGTTTAAAAAACATACTGCTGTCTTGCAGCAGCACTATAAAGATGCAACATAAAACATGCTCATAATTCAGAAAACAATCAAATCAATTTCCATGCCCCTAAGTTTCTCCCTATCAAAGTGCACGATATTGAAAGCCATACTTACAAGGTAAATTAGCTTCAAGTTCAGCAACCTCTGTTAAAAAGAACAGAAACATCATTGTTAAATGCAGACATAGTCAGAGAAATAAAAAGTTCTGACTGCACATCTCTCAAGGTTTAAGAAACTTTTTAAAACACAATGAAAAATGACAATATTCAATTACTTTAAAAAGTATTCAATACATTAAGTAATATTTTTAGTCTTCAAGTCCCTCCTGTGAGGGATGAGGTTACAAAGTTCCATTTTTTGGAACTTCTTTTCATATGCTCTTCCACAGAAATGCTCTTCTGGTCTTGGGACATTCTTCAAAGAAAGAAAAAAAAATCTTAATGCAACTAAAACTGGTTCAGCTCCCCCATCACAAATGATGTTTCCAGAATGTTTATCTGAGCTTCCACAGAACAAGTCTACTACATTAAGTGTACAAGATGCTCATCTAGGGCTCACAGCAATGCTAATTACTGGTGGATCAAAACAGAACTAACAATGGAAAAAAATAGGAAGAGTCTCCCAAACATAAGGACAGTCTGAAATACTGTTTTATCTTCCTATGTAAATTGTCACTAGTTAACAAAAGAAAAAGGACCTGCTTATTCAGTTGCACAGTGTAAACTGGACTAATGGGGCACAAAATGCACAGTTCGCAAAAAACAGGAGCAGCAACTCTTCCCTTTCAACTTAATAAAAATATAGCAATGGGGCATGGATAATCATTCCATGCATCTCCCATCAGTTGTGAGTTGGATCCAAATGGGGTAGCCCCAGCTCTAACAGACACCTGCCACACCATACGTTCAATTTAAGGTGCAATTCAAACCAGCTATAAAAATGCAAGTGCACAGCACGTTATAATTTATGGTGCACTTGCATGTTAAACAGCACCATAACTGCAATGTTTGCCAGGGCCCCAAAGTTATACCTAAATTGAAACATTTGCAAGTCGTCTATGATGTGGCTGGTAAATGCCTTCCTTTTGACCCTACTCTACTGCACAGATCTGCAGTTTATGTTCAAATAAGTTTTACTTATATTTAATCCTTCCAATATATTCAGTTTGCCTGCATATCTTAAATATTAAAAATAGTATATGTAAAAATAAATCTTTTCTTGCATCTTATCCTGGAAGAGCAATGAAAACAGGCTAATTAGGTTCCATTTTTGGCTCACAAGAAAGCTAGCACAATGCTCATGGATTTGGCTGCCAACAGTGCAAGAGAAATAATAAAATCCCAGCTCAAGATATACAGCTCTTTTTAGATTTTACATCAACTCTATTGACATTGAACTTCAAGAGGATTTTTTTTAGTGCACAACCAAACTTGCTCTGATAGCGACTCCAAATTTTTTTTGTGGCATTTTAACATAAAGGCTCTAGCCTATGTAGGGTTTATTAATATTTGATAGTAAAATGAATTAGGCACTTCAACCCTCCCTGCTTTCCATATTTTTATGTCACTTCATGGTTGAAATAACTCAGACTAGGTTTTTGACAGTTAAATAGTAGCAGTCACTGAGCCAAATTGTCTCCTGATACTGAGCTTAAAAAGCTAAATAGATATTGAACCTAAAACAAACTGAACTTGGTATTGAACTTAGAGATAAATAAGGAATCTGACTAATGCTATAATGAAAACACCTTCTTTTAATTCACAATTTAAATAATGTAGTAATACAAGCCTAAAATATTCCTCGGAGGTCCTCTGCAAATAAGCTTCAAACTTAATTCAGCCACTCATTATGGGTTTATGAATGCTCACCCTCACTTAAAGTACGACCAAAAGGCACACACCGATACTATACACAAGGTCTTTACTTAAACCTTTACTGGAAAGTATTTAAGCATCAGGCTTCACAATGCAAGGGGGTAAATTCCTTAGCACAGCACAGTGCAAATTCAGTCTTTCAAGTCTAATAGTTGATTTCACATCAAATCATCTATCACGGTGGCACTCTACCATTCAGTCCTGTGGGCCGAATGAGTGGCAAAGGGCTGTTCCGTGCTCTGGGGACTGGGCCTTGTGCTGCCTCAGCTCAGCCAGGTACCACATTCAATCTGGCTTGTAGGGTTCCCCATGGATCTGGGAATATGGCAGCCAGGGAGTGCCAACTAAAGCTACCATCATTACCCTATTGCCAAATTTCCAGACTCAGGGCGGGAGGATGAGGCATTCAATCTTTGCAGGCAACTCTAATCTGCATAGATTGAACCGATTTGCAAGTGGATTGACATCCACTTTTGACTCCAGAAAGGCAGGCACATACCTGCAGTGGCTCAGGCCAGAAGCCAGGGGGCACTAGAACGAGCCCTCCGCTGGAGGGAAACTAAGCTGTGGGGGGGCCGTGGCCAGGCCCAGGCAGGCCTGAGTGCGATTGGGGAGGGGTATAAACCCCCACCCTGGTCTGCATGGACCTCAGCCAGGGGGTACCTGGAGGTGGATGGGGGAAGTAGCTCCTATCAGAGGTCCCCTGCTGCAACTCCCTCATCTCAGACTGTCCTGCAGCATAGGGCTCTTGGTGAGTGTGGCCTGCAGTAAGTCCTGTGGGGCAGCTGTGGGGAAGAGGAGGGGTGAAAACACCCACCCTGTGCCTGGAGGGGGGAAGCCGACAGTGGGGGCTTTGCTCCCCTGCCCCAGCTGGGAGCTGGGTCGATTCCCCAGCAGAGGAAGGGGTGAGGCAAGGGAATCTACCCTACTTCTGGCTGCTGGGGGTGGGGCCAGTCCTGCTCCCTTGGAGCAGAGAGTCCAGTCCAGGGCTGAAAAACATGCTAGGGAACTCAGATTTAACTCACCTTAAACCAGGAAAGGATATGGGACAGGCATTGCATAAACTGGTTGGACCCAAACCAGTTAAGTCTGATACTACATTCAACCAAGTTTATCTTAAACCAGTTTCGGCCATTTTGAAACTGGTTTACTTGCACTAAACTTATGATCCGTTACAGGTTTAAACTGGTTCCTGATCACTGAAGCCAGTTTGTGTGTAACTTCTTGTCCTTAAGAATATTGAGAGAGGCAAGGGTTTTTTAGGGTGGTATCTTATGGGACCAACTATGTAGGTGGGATAAAGTTACATAAGATATCACCCTTTAAATAATCCTTGCCACCTGCACAATTTCTGGACCAATCACAGATGCAACATCATTCTCACATTGCCTTAACATAGACTGGCTTCTGTTGAACTTATTCATAAATCACAAAATTGAGGGTTGCTCTTTTTAGATCATATAGAGAGGACCAGAGCAAAACAACATGAATGTTGTATGGTCTCAACCATATAAACACAAACGTATTTGAGTTCTTTAAAATACCCTATGCAACAATATCCTAGCATGGGAGTCAGCAATCTGTGGCCCACAAGCCAAGTCTGGCCCACAGAACCACTGGATCCAGTGGCATTTGGCAGCAGAGGGCCTCTGCCACGGGTGCTCTCTTTTTATGCTGCCACAGGGCAAAGCAGCAGGGTGGCCAAGTTCTACTGCCCACCTACCCCAATCCAAACTGGATCATTCCAGCCTGTAACCAGAAAAGGTTGCCAACCACTGCCCTAGTGCTTTCACAAAACCACAACAGTTGGCTTAAGTTCAGTTTAAAAAAAGCCTCAAAAAAATTCACATTACTGTGGAGTGCTTTTACTGAACAATTTTTAAACACTTATAATTCCAGCACACCAAAAATATTGGCTCAGCTCAAACACAAACACCACCTTATTTATTTGTGTGATTTATATGTTGCCCTTCTCATCAAAAACCTCAGGGCAGCTTTAGATAAGAAAACAAAACAACTTATAAAACAGGAGCATTATGAAAAAAAGTGAGAAAATAGAACTAAAGAACTTAAAAGGGGAACCAGAATATCACTAGAAACCACAGATCCCTAAAGCAATCCCCTGGCCTAGCTTTGTTTGCCAAATGCCTCTTAAAATAGGAAGGTCTTACAGTGCTTCCAAAAGACATCCAAGCTTGGGACTCCGGTGGGCCTCAAGGAGGGATAGAATTCCAGAGCTGGGGAGGAACTGCCAAGAATGACCTCCCGTGCATGTTCGCCAAGTGTACTCAAGAGTATTGATGGTATTCAAGAAGGCTACTCTTGGCTGAACAGAGGGATTGCGACGGGGTGTAAGGGAAAAGTAAAATATTATATGAAATAAGAGAATAATAGTAGACTGACAATGATGAAATAAAATACAAATAAAATGTTACTTCTGCTTCCCACTATCCCAAATTCACCAAACTCGATGCCTTTTTTGAGACCAAATCTTTGCCTTCTGAAACCTGTTCCTTGACCATAGGCAGGAGTAATGAGAAAAGTACAACCCAGCCCGCTCCTCATGTCCTTCATGACCAGCAAGAAAAAGGGTGGAATTCAGAGACCGCAACGAAGCCGATGGTCAGGCAGCCATCCACATTAACTCATAGGAGCTCCATACAACAGCAGCCTTACCTCTCCCCTCCTCAGCTCATTCAGAACAGCTAAATTGAACCTTCTGAAATTAGTACATTTTTCCTTTGTGGTAGAAAATATTTTTTCCCCCCTTGAATGGATAACTCAGTGGGCTCAGACTGTTAAATTTAAAGTTCCTTTTATTTTCAGTACAGGTATGAAAAATCCTGAGACCACCTAAAGCAGCATTTCCCAACCTTTTTCACCACAAGGCACACTTACATGGCCTCTACCACACCACGGCCACTTGAATCACTAGCTGGAGCCTTGCCCCCTGCCTGGCTGGAGGCGTGGCTCCAGCCCAAAATGCCACGGCACACCTGGACATGCCCGACAGCACACCAGCTGGGGAATGCTGACCTAAAGCAACTAAGAATCAGTGTTTTCAAGAAATTGCCCATAGAAGTAAAGGTGTGGTCAGCTGGAATATGCTGTTCTCTGCAAAGTTTATGAAACAAGTAAAAATAGGAAGTAACAGAATTCTGCTTGACATAACTCAACTTGGCATGAAAAAGCAGCAAACAAGTGTTCGCAGAAGCCATTAAACAGATTTCTGTCAGCTCAAGTAATGGGTCCATGGAATACAAAATGGGT